AAAGTCCGTTTTCTGTGTACGGTTTCAAGCGAGCGTGTTCGAATAGCCAGAAATACATGTAGAACGTATCCTGTGGTGGAGCAGGAGCAGGATGTGGTTTGTTTAGCGCCAATCATGCTAACTTTGGATGCGCCGCGCATTGAGGTCCGCGCAGAGGTGATGGGATGGTGCAACTTGTGCGTAATGTCTGTTCACGCGAGCAAATGTGTCTATAAGGTTCAGGGAGGTCCATGGCGAACCTGTGCACTTGTTTACAGTGTTTTCCGTTGCGTATGATGGAGCGTGTCCCTGTCGACGCCGCCAGATTCGTGCTCCGCCAATTGCTGATTCCGATAAAGGAGACCAACTGCTGGAAAACGTCTGATACGAACGATATGGTAGTCCTGTCGTTTGTCGAAAAAAAACAGGTTGGCTCAGCGCCAATCGCGGACACGCCCCATCATCCGCAGCGAACCAGAGTATGTTGTACTGTTTAGTCACTTACGAGATGATGTCGACTTATTAATATTTCCTGAATCCTCCTATTTCTTGATTTTTCCAGTTATTTCGGATTAGTTTGATGAATGAAAGTTTTGTACTTTTTTTACATATCCGAGTTCTCTACAAAGCAAGCTTCGCTGTACAGGACTCAGCACACTGACGCTCGTTACTGGCTACCGCACTCATTACGACCCCCCCTCTCCTGGCGGCCAAATACGACCCCCTGTTGGGGATTCCCCAACCAATGATGTGCCCTGTTCATGTGAAGAGTTCTAGCGGAGATGAGTGTGGTTGAGACCACGAGTCTCCCTAGCACAGGGACTGACGGAAACGTCTTAAATCTAGACCAGTCGAGGTCCGCTTTCCTCTCGAGCAGCTGACGTTATAGCGACCATAGGATGGGGAATGTGAAAGACGTTCGTGCTTCGCTTGGAACTAGCGAATGCAACTGAACACGGATTAGGGATTTTCTATGGAATGGAGGTGGTGTTCCGCTGTAGGCTCGGAAATCCTTACTTTTGTCTTGACGAAAAACCGATATGCCCATGAAAAACAGAAATAATGACGAATGCATATGAACGCACATTTCACGTGGCATCTCGAGTTTTACGAGTATTTTTCAGGAAGCGCTGACACTTGGCCTCACGGTGACAGAGTTGCTACGCAGCATCACTACCTGTCGCCCATTGTTCAGAAACGAATATGTACTGTCGAGAGAACATGCTATAGGGGACGGTTTGTTTATCAGTTCACATCCCTTGCTTTGGATAAATTGTCATGGGGGGCACGACCATTCATAGCTGGTAGCGCTCTTTCAATAGCTTGTTAATGGTGATGCTTTATAGGCGATGCCTATGTGTATCGACATTTCCAGAACGTTCACGATGTGTTTGGTGTAGAGGTGTTATTCCAAGCTGGAGTTCAGGTCTCAGTAGTCAGCTGATGCCACTTTTCCTATTCAAATTTTAGTAGTTCACGTTGAGCAGCCTTTTTAGTGACGAATATATTTTCGTTCTTAGAATACTAGAGAAAGTGCGCTGGTCGAACTTATAGCGCAGTTTCTCTACGAACCAGGATTCACGCAACTAAGGACTGTTGAACAACTTGGTAAACGTTTTCAACCCCAGTTACTTTCTTTTTTGCATTTTCTCTATAGCAGTTGGAAGGCAAGATTCGCTCTACTCAGACTTTGCTGCACCCAGCCCTCCCCTCATCCCAATTCTCTAAAATAAGTCCAGCTTTTTTACCAGCTTCTTCTCCTGAGAAGAGATGTGGGTGGAAACATTCCCCTTTGAATGGAAAACAGCACTTTACAGTGAGAACGTCCAGTACAAAAATTTTCCTGGCTTTCCAGGAATCATTTAGCGTCTCATCCTCTACTACAGCTGCACCAAATAGGCAGCCCAACTTGCGGCACGCATGCTACTTCCATTCAGGATCGTGGTGGCTTAGTGAATGCGGTGAGGCCTATAATGAATTGCGAGGGCCAGTCGATGTTCAAGTCAGTGTTCTTATCCTATCAGACGGGTCTCTTGCCTATTTACCGTCCCCGGAGGGTAGAAACCTGGCTTCACCTTGGCTGAAGTGGATTCTGGATTTATGCCCAGCACCGCGCGAATGATGAGCGAGCCACTTGCCACCACACCTAGTGGATCAGGGATAGGGAGTGCAATTGTTGTAGCTGGTTGATCCTACTTTCATAATTCTTTTGTTGCTACTCAGAATATGAAGAAAACACCTTTTAGTAATCTGGCTTTTAATACAAATACAATAGCACTTTCCTATCCTGCTTTATCCATTTGAACGATACTTCATTGTTTAGGGTACGTAGTTGGGATTTTGCCAAGGCAGAATGCAGGGACAATAGATCTAGTGTTCGTTATTCAAGGTCCTGGAAGTGTCGATCACGCCCTTGGAAGAATAGAGGCTTTCATCGAGAAGATGGAGGTGAGTGTTGTTATCATCAATGGCTGCATTGTTGAAAGTCTGAAAATGCTCCTATGAATATGTATCATGTGAGGCGTCAGAAGTTTAGCTTACCAGGAAAACTCTAGGGCTACATCGGCATAGAGTTTGCTTTGACTCGGTTACGCGTCAAGAGATCCGCGTTGCGACGACGAGCACTGCGATTGTATTATTACTTTCTAGGCACTTGAATCGGCTTATTATGGTAGTTGCATGTTGACAAACTTGAGTTCAGACGTGTTTATGTATGCATTCCCACCCCGCCCTTCGTACGTTGGGGATCCCAAGCGAGAGGAGCGGATTCGGTCGTTGGAGAAAGAGGAGTGGGTCCTATAATCTCTTGTGTGAATGTCTATGGACACTGACTTCCCCCAAGTTTTCTGCTTCAATTGCGCCATCTGCCCCCATTTTTTTCATTTTTTAAGTTCATTTCCATTGGGGATGGAGAAGAGAGTCGGATGAAAGAGGAATTCTGAACGGCGTCATTTAGTGCGGAAAAATTCTTTCAAGCAGCAGGAAGGTTCCCC